GGCCCCGGCCGTCTCGTCGACCATCTGATGGATACTCGGTAGAGGATACGGGTCGAGCGGACAGGCCTTGTTAAGGTCGGTGAAGTCAATGCACATCCTCCAAGCTGGGGGCTTCGGAACAAGGACAATATTGGCCACCCACTCGGGATAGATCACCGGTCGGATGTGCTCGATCGTCGCCATCTTCTTGACTTTTTCTCTGACAAACTCGCGGCGATCGGAAGAAAGGTGCCGGGTCTTCTGTACGACCGGCTTTGCTGCGGGATCGACGGCTAGCTTGTGACAAATCACCGATCGATCGATCCCGGGCATGTCTTCGGGCCCCCATGCAAAGATATCGGCATACTCCCGGAGTATGGCTAGGATTTCTGTTCGGAGCTCTGGGGTGAGGGCCCGGCCAATTTTGATCTTCCTGTCCGGTCGGTCCTCAGACAGGGGTACTTCCTCTATTTCCTCGGAGGGCTCGGGTTGCTCCTTCCGGTCCTTTGCCACTTCCTTGGCTATAGTGTTCACCCGGGAAGACTGACCGGAGTCACGTCTATTAACCGCTCGGGTGTAACACTTCCGGGCGGATTGGACATCGCCACGGGCTACACCGACCCCATTTGGGGTGGGGAATTTCATGCAGAGGTGAGGCATTGAAATTATCCCACCGATCTTCATGATGGCAGGTCGGCCCAAGATAATGTTGTGGACGCAATGGAGGTTGACCACAACGAACTCAAGCTCCGTCTTGATCGACTTCGGGGATGTGCCGATCTCGACCGGGAGCATTATTTTTCCCTCGGGGTAGATAAGAGCCTCGGTAAATCCCGACAGTGGTACACCGACCGGAGTCAGCTCCTTCCTGTCAAGTCCAAGTTTCTCAAACACGTCCAAGTAAAGGACGTTCACACTGCTGCCAGTGTCCACCATAACCCTCTGGACATCCGTCCCTTTAACATCAATCGTAACCACGAGCGCCTCCATGCCATGGTCACCGCTGCTGGGTTGATCTTCGAGGGTGAAGGTTATGGGCTCCATCTTCTGCCTCCTCCCGGTGTCCCGGGAGTCCACTACGGCGACCGGGCAGTTGCCCCTCGACCGGGAAGCATCATCCAATCCACCAAAAATGACGTGGATGGTCGGCTGCTAGATGGAGGGTCAGGGTCCCGTCGGTCATCATGACGATCATCTCTTCGATCGTCTCTTCGGTCCTGACCTGACCGATCGGAGCGTCCATCACGATTAGAACGATCGGAACGGTGATGGGAGCGCCGGTGATCTCTCCGATCGGTATTCCTCTTGGTATCTTCTCTTTTCCCCACACACTTGTCCAACTTCCCAAGATTGAGCAAATCCTCCAACAGTTGGCGCAAGCGGGTACACTCCTCAGTATCATGCCCGGCACATCGGTGGTAAGCGCAATGCTTACTCTTGTCGGGGCCGTCTCGATCCGGATGGGGGAGTTTGATGAGATTGCAGGACTGAGCGTACTGCATGGCCTCCGCTGCGGATCGGTTCAGGGCCGTAAACTCACCAGGCCTGGTGCGGGATCGGGGATGGTCATCACCCGATCGGTGTTCCGCCCGGCCGGCCGGTTTGCGGGACGAAGACCCGACCTCCTGCGAGCGCTTTACGGCATTCACCTCGCCGGCGTTAGCATAGTCTGTGACCCTTCGAAGGGCCTCCGCATTAGTGGCCGGGGGGTGTAGAATGAAATCCTGGTACAAATAACCCGCCCGGAGGGAGATATGAAGCATGTGGGTGGCGGTCGCATCATCCATGGGCTCGACTTCCCCGACCGCCGCCTTCCACTTGACGAGGAAATCGGTCAAGCTCTCCCCTTCAAGCTGCTTGGCCTTCTCCAAGTACATATAGGACTTTCTCACCACCTTGGAGGTGATGAATTTCCTCACGAACTTGATCGCCAAGGCATCAAAATTTGCAATCGAGCCCGGCTGCAAAGTCCGGAACCATTCCGCCGCCTGACCGGTGAGCGTGGAATAGAAAGCCCTACACATCACGGCGTCGGATACGCCCTTCAGCATCATGTTGCCGTAGAAATCATTAACATGGACCTCAGGGTCCGTACGGCCATTGTAACTCTTCTCCCCAGAGACTTTCAAATCAAGCGGATAGGGCTGAGCCATTACCTCGGCCGTGAAAGGCGTCCTAAGCAAGGTCGATTCGTCGACTGGGGGTGTTGCAGGGTGCGCGTTTCTGAATTGCGCAAACTCCGCCTGGAGGTTGTAAAGCAATCCTCGGGTCTCGTTGAGCTCGGCGACTTGGGCAGCTTGGGCTGCGTCTCGAGCGCGTCGTCGTCGATGAGATCTCGACCCGCTATGCCCGGATGAAGCCTCCTGGCTGGCTTCCTGCATCTGTACGTCTTCCGGCTGCCGGTTCGGGTCTTGGGTCCCCAAACGTTGTTGCATCGCCGGTCGAAGACGATCAAAAGCTACTGCTCGGGCAACTTCTTCGGGGTCCTCTGCTTGAGTGGGAACCTCCGCTGCTTGTTGGGCCTGCCGTGGTGCCTCCATCGCATCAGCACCCCCCGACCCCAACCGCGAACGAGCCGAGCGTCGAGCCCGGGAAGCGGGCTGATGCTGCGGCTCTACTTGTGCGGCCGGGTAAACTGGAGGGGCGGCGGCTGGAGCCGTGTATGCAGGCGTATAAGGTGGATAGCCAACCGGGGGTGTGTAATACATCGGTTGGCCAGGCCAATACCCGTACGGTTGAGGTGGGACCGGGTATGGATACTGGCCAAGATACATCATCGGCTGTTGTGGATATTGCTGACCCGGTGTTGGGTACCCCGGTTGAATGTTGTTCACCGGCTGTTGGGCGGCCGGGTATGTGTTGGATGGATGTGGTGGTGAGAGATTGAGATTGAGGTCCATCGTCTGACCTTGTTGTTGTGTTGCCTGGTGGTCGGATGAGCTCGCTGCATCCGCCTGATCGTCGGCAAAGAGATTCTGTGCCCACGAGTACATGGTTGGTGAGTGATCGGGTGCTCGTCAAGACAATGGTTTTCTTGTACGGGTCCCCACAGAGGGCGCCAAAATGATACTGCTAATTGCCACGTACGCAGTAATTAAATAAATACGAGACCAATTAAAGCAAATAAATGTCTTTTATTGATCACGGTGAAGGCCCTAAGTACAATCTACTTGGTTGCTCTGAGTGCCGACTGACTGCGGTCGGGATTCTCTAACAACAACCTATCGATCGTCCAAAAGTCCCTCACACTGTAGCTATCGCGGGTATTTATAGCCGCGGCGCCGGAGACACAAATCCGGCCGTTCGGCATGCTTCCCACGTAGCCACCACGTGTCACCGTCCCGGGTGCCCTGCCTGTCAACGTGTGGAGCCGCCACGTGTCTCTTGTCAGTTCTCTCGCCAAAGGGCTACCACTCGGTGGTCGACACTTCCGCTCGGGCAACTCCCGGTTGGGGTCCGACCGGGTTCTTCACAAGAAGCCCGACCTGTTACCTGCAAAGACAAGAAGACAAAAACAAAGGCACACCAACCGGGGTAAAATTATGTCGGTCGGGATATTCCCTACCAACATGTATATGTGTCTTGTGTTGTGAGTTTTTGTGTCTCGTGTTATGAGATTCTGTACCTTAAGATTATTGATTATGTACCTAGAATAAATTAAAATTTGTGTTAAAACATGATAAACGAGAAACTACAGAATTTGTTAAAACTTAAATATCAAAAACGATGTCGTTTTGATACAGAGTCCACAATGCTATGTGGACCGTTGTCCATAATATAAATTGTCAGAAAAGTGGAGTACAGTTGTGTTGGGTGTTGGGGATTTGGGGTTAATTTGAGAAGGTAATAAAATATAATGGATCAAAATGCGAGTTGACTTAAGAGCTGGGAGATTGAAAGTGCGGGAAGGGAGTGTGAGTAGGTGGGGTGGGGGTGTACGGCGTACGGGGCAAGGGGCATGGGTGGTGTGTGTTGTGTGGCGAAGGGGTGGGGGATGGGGTGGCCGGTGGTGAAGGGAAGGGGAAGTAGGCCCCCTCCGCCTTTCTTGGCGTCTTCGAAGTGTGTGGTGGTGGTTTATTGACATGCGATGATGAAATAATATAATTTGCTATATTATTGTTATTATTATTTATGAGGGAAGATGTAGTCAGACCAAGAAAATAGAGGCCAAGAAAATAGAAATATTACGTGGCTTTAATATTAGGGTAGGTTGCAACTACACAAGTAATATTATATAAAGGCTTCGGGCTACAGAAAAGGGGATTCACACCAGTCTCAAATATAACACAATCTCTTCTATATATATATATTCTTTCTTCTTCCATATATTTCATGACCATGACCACCTATGTACATGTACTACACTTACAACTTAGTGGATTTCGGCTTGGCTTAGCCCAAAAAGGCTCGTGGTTTTCACCGTATTGGTTTCCACGTTAAATATCTTGTGTCCTGCCTATTTATTTCTTATTTATTGATTCCTTGCAATCACCCTTTTACCATTCATATTTTTCTTATGGGAGATTATTGACCTGTATAATTACATACCCCGGGGTCAATTTTCTTCATCAATGGTGCTCTTGTCGAGAGCGACTGTACAAGCTTAAGCGTGCTCTCTCTCCTATCTTTCCCTAGCTGACGAAACACTCAAGTTTAATTTGCTCTCCATTTTCCACAACAATGAAATATACCATTCGATTTTTATAACATTCATCTTTAAATTATTCATCTTTTTCCTGTGTATGCAAACTTCATTTCAATCATACTACATCCAGTACGTTATCTCCAGTATTCATGCGAATAATACAAGTTTCTCAAGATACATTTTATCCTCCCATCTCTCTGTGTTTGTTGGAAGTTGAAATCCTTGAAAAATTTTCAAGATCACTACCAGACTGATCACTCTTCAAATATATACATATCGTGTCAAAGGATTCATAAACACCAATTCGAAGCTCACATCCACCTGCCTGAAAGGATTTGTTAATTTAGATTTTCAAGCTTTCCACGACGACCTCGACATGGCCGCCACCATAGTCCGCCTCCAAAGACACGACTGCTTCGTCACTAGATGTGATGGATCAGTATTGCTGGCCGGACGGAGACTGGAAGGAGGCCGGGGGATAAGTAAGCGCCGGCAAACGGAAAAACCGTGCAAGGGTTCGATCTCATCGACCAGACTAAGGAGGAGTTGGAGCAGAGCTGCCCGGGAGTGGTGTCCTGCGCCGATATCCTAACGTTCTCGCCAAGGGATGTGCTTGTATTATCCGGAGTGCCACAGTTCGACGTTCCCGGCTGGAGGAGCGACGAGAACGTCTCCCGGGAAGCCGACGTGGGAAAACATCTTGCATCGCCGGACAACACGGTGGATCAAATATTTAGATGGCGGAGCTTTCAAGGCAAAAGGCTAGATGTGGAGGACCTGGTGGTGCTGTTGGGCGCGCTTTCCATCAGCGTCGCCCACTGTTCCAATTTCCGGTACTGGCTAAACGATCCGGCTAAAGCCAAGGAAGTCGACGTCACGGTGAAGGTCGTCATGCATGGGAACTCATTGCCTGAACGTGATGAACACAATCCCAATTTTATCAATGCTAAAAGATAAGTGTTATTATTATTATTGTTATGATTATTACTATTATTTAATTTGATGTGGCCAACCGCTAATTTATTCGAACAACAACATAATTTGGCAAGCTCTGTGCTGCCACTCACATAATATAATATGGTACGCTTTGTGCTACCAATTGTACTGCAAGGCAAGCCCTGCGCTGCCACCTAAATTATAGGGTAAGCTCCGCGCTACCTCTTACAACTATCGTTTCATCGAATAAATTTGGTGTTGGTCACAATAAATTAAAAGAAGATAGAGATATCTGAATCTATCTTCAATTTTAATTTTATATTTAAATCAATACTAGTGGCATGACCCACTAATCATGTGTTATTTAGCATGCAGGGAACAACTTTTGTGAACTAATGGGTGCTCCGTCCACCTAACCGTGACTCATGGGTGCTCCGTCCACCAAATCGTGACTCATGGGTGCTCCGTGCACCTAACCGTGACTCATGGGTGCTCCGCGCACCTAATTGTAACTTTCATATGATCTCAATGCTCCGAGCGAGGAAGGTCACAACTTTGATGCCTCATGCACAAACATGTAGTGCAGACTACACTCGTCACACTCCAAATGTTATATATGGTTTGGTTCAACGTGTATCGGTGTAATACTTTCTTATGCCACAAACACTTGTGGTTAAGAAAGTGGGCGACTCATGATGGAATAATATAATTTCCTATATTATTGTTATTATTATTTATGATGGAAGATGCAGTCAAAGAAGAAAGAGTCAGTCCAAGAAAATAGAGGCCAAGAAAATAGGAATATTACGTGGCCTTAATATTAGGGGAGGTTGCAACTACACAAATAATATTATATAAAGGCTCCGGGCAACAGAAAAGGGGATTCACGTCAGTCTCAAATATAACAAATTCTCTTCTACATATATATTCTTTCTTCTTCCTTATATTTCATGGCCATGACCACCTATTTACATGTACTACACCTACAACTTAGTGGATTTCGTCTTGGCTTAGCCCAAAAAGGCTCGTGGTTTTCATTGTATTGATTTCCATGTTAAATATCTTGTGTCCTGCCTATTTATTTCTTATTGATTCCCTGCAATCACCCTTTTACCATTCATATTTTTCTTATGGGAGATTATTGACCTGTATAATTACATACCCTGGGGTCAATTTTCTCCATGATGCGATATCCACTCATTTCTCGTAGGACAAGACTTTTCCGTACCTATAAATATTGAGGGGATTTTCAAAGTTTAGACATCAAGAATCTTGGACAATCTTATGTGTTTTCTCCATTCTTTACTTTGTTCTGTGTAATTTATTATGGAATGTTGACATGACAAATATCTTGGATTAGTCAATTGGGCAAATACTTTCGGTTTGAGTTGTCTTAAACTATCTTATTTATTTAACTGTAACCTAAAAGGGGTCCTTTATGACCCATGTTGGTTTTGCGGTCATGGGATAGCTGAACGGCGGGCCAACACAACCACAAAACAATTTTTAAAAGAGAAAAAGAAAAGTAAATTGGCAAAGTAATCGAAAGAGGATTGAATCAAGAACCCTTTTTAATATGCCCACGGGTATTTATACAGGATTTACATGTCTTGGAAAGGAAAGAAGAAGACTTAACAAACTTGATCTTATGAAAGCTTCCTAAACTGCCACGCCACTTTTCTAATGCTGAAAAGGGAAGCCTCGCCCAGAATCTAAAGGGAATCTCTTGAAAATCTCCTTCCATCGCCTCCAACATGACTCCAGGTCATGCATACCAGCCCGACCACATTCGCGAGGCAGGAAGCCTGGCCCACACATATCCAGCCTCCCGGCAAGGGGTCTAGCCACTAAGCTTTCTAGCTTTTTAGATAATGCGGTCATTCTACAGACTCCGGGCGCTGGAACATATTCCTGACTAGGTACCCTACTCGGGGTATCCATCACTAGTCTCTCACTTTTATGAGGTTCAGCGAGGCAATGACTCAGGAAAGTAAGCTTTCATGGGATGAGGAACCCAGTAGCCTGAGTGCTAACTTGCAGACTAGAATTTCCAAGCATATGTCAATCTTATTGTGTAGCTAAGAAACATGTCCATTGCTGGTTGGGCCATCTTCCCAGTCGCGACCAGTACTTACTCTTCCCGACTAGCTGGATTCTTGACTAGTTTCACGAGGATACCGCTATTAAATCAGGCATATTCAATACGCCTCTTCGTTTCCCGCTAGTTAAAATTTAAAACTTTTCACATTCTCTAACCCTAAGTAACTGTCGCGTCAGCCATCACGTCCGCCTGCCAGCCATTGTATGCCTGCCATGTGTCATCATCTGGCAGCCTTCCTCCCCTATAGTATTGATAACCAACCCTCCAGCGGGCGGTTTTTTAGGCATTCACTATCGTTCGATTCGTTGTGGTTTCCGAGTGCCTCTCCACCCTCTTATTTCTCTAATCCTTCGCTACTATGGCCTCGTACCCGGCCAGCTAGTCCCCAACTCCTCCCGCATCCTCGTCAGTTTCCTCACATACCTCTACAACCTCGAGAAAGAGTCCATTATTTCCTTCTTCCACCAACTCTTCTAGCTATTGACAGTCGGCGTTATTGCCCATAGCTACGTGCAAATACGCCAGAGAGATGGGCACCGATTCTTGGACAAGCTGGAGTTCTCCCACAAAGGCTGGAAGGATGACTTTTTCTTCATCCACCAGTCCGCGCCACACGCGAATTTTGACTTCCTTACTACATAGTGGTTATCGTACTTCCGACTGCATCAAAGGCCACAATGCAGCGAGATGGTCGCGGAGTTAGTTAAGACAATTCTTCAGGGTGACCCCATCTATGTTTGGTGATGATCCCGACTGCTTGCATGCAGAAGGCTGGTATCTTGTTGTTTGGCACAACCTTGACAGGTCTAATATATGCCTTCCATCCTGACTGGCTACTAATAATTTGTGTATTTAATGGGTTTTATCCGTGTTATAGGGAGCAACGACCCCGAGCCGTCCTCCAAGGAGTCGGGCGAGGATTAGGAAGAAAGTGACTAGGGTGACCTGGTTGCACACCACTCCTGAGCTCCGACCATTGAGCCTGTCGACCTGACTTCCGACGATGACCAAGATACAAAGGAAATGGGCGATCGCCGAGCATTCCACTGCGCTCACACTAGGGCCAGCCTAAGTGACAAAAACAAGGGAAAAGTTATCGACTCATTTTACCTACCCCCCTCCCCACCAACTGTTTTTAGCTTTGTCCAACTGGTAATCTATGGGTCGCCAATCGCGATAGCCCGAGCCGCCGCAGAAACCAGGCAGAAGGAGTTAGCCGACCACACCACCACCCACTAGTCAGGTACTAAACGCCGTGATGACACCTCCATCAAAACCCCAGCTGCAAGTGTATTGTGGTTAGCCTATAGCTAAACCCATAGAGGTTATCCATAAGGGTAAGTTCCCAGTGACGGAATGACTAGACAAAGTGGTCTTCCTAAGGGACTTAGAGTCCGTTGAGGCCCTGATGTTGACAAGTTTCTAGAATGCACTTCCTTCCGGATGTACCAGGTATGCTTCTGAGTAGCTTTACTCTTGACTGTCTGCCCAACATTTACTAGAGCTCTAATCGGTTTTTATTTTCTTTTTTTTTTTTTCTTTCAGGCCCTGATGTACCAGCTTTCCCTTTGCCGGCGGTAGAAGGTGATTATGTTCGAGTTGGATGTTCTCCATGCTGCCCGAGCTGACAACGCCAAGTATCTGGATGAGATAAATCTGAGGATCGGGGAGGCGACATCTACTCTAGAGGCTAAACGGGCATGGGTTGAGCAGCTGGTAGCGAAGCTAACTACCGCCCGGGAGACTGCCTTGTCTACCTACCAGTAGTCGAAGGCCTTCCAGAGGGACGCTATGTGTGAGACCCCAAAATATTTTTCCTCCAAAACTCCTATTTTATCAAATTTCAAAATGAAATTATTTTTATTCCTACGATATTTTTCTAAATGGGTGTTAGAATAAAATATTTTAAACTCTTTATTCCAAAATAATTTTATGCAAACTATTTATATATTTATATATGGTTTTAAAAGCCCTATTTAAGGGATGTATTTATTTGTCAAAATTTTGACTTAAAAGTCTATCTGAGAGGAACCTGAGGGGAATTTGTGAATCTGATAGAATTGTTTTTTAACCCAAAAGTGATTTTAAAATATACCTAGCCTAATTTATGATTTTATATATTATATTTAACCCAAACTTGATCCAGTTTTGTACCCAAAATTATAACACGAGATTTAATCTGTGAAATGACCCATTAGCCCTCTCCTAGCCGTGTGGCACTCATCAGCCTAGGGTTTTATGCCTATTTAAATGTCATTATTCCATTGAGAACCTTGATCCCTCCCTTGCACCTCTCTTCTTCAGCATTTGCAGAGAAAGGCCTCACCATCCAAGAGCTTCAAGAGTTGTAAGACCATCATCTTCCATCTTTCATTTCCATTACAAATCTTCCTTTCATTCTCTTTCTCTTCTCCCTACTTTCTCACAGTGAAGGCATGTGTGTGTGTATGTTTATGTTGTTTGGTTTGGAACCTTATAAAATGGGAAAGGAGAAGACATAGCTTGAGGATAGAGATGGATGAATCTTGAGGTAGAGGCTAGAAGTTTGAGGTATAACCCATGGAAACCCAAACTCCTATTTTTACCGTAAGTGTTGATATTATGCGTTTTGTATGATGATGTTGGTGGATTATGTGTTTGTAGGTAATGAATGTGGTGTATATTGTGTTGGGAAGAAAGCTCGCAAGAATATATAATTAGCACAATAAAATAAATAAACAACATTAAAAGAACACCAAGAATTTTAACGTGGAAAAACATCCTCAAGGCACGGAGTAAAAAACCACGGGCACAAGCCAGTAAACCTTCCACTGTATAGATAATGGGTACAACAGATGAGACTTCTCTAATTCAACGATTAGAGGCAACACAATACAAGAGAAAATAACATACCCCGAGGCACAAGAATTTCTACGAAATC